GGGTGGGGGGAAGGGAGGGAAATGCACGGGACTATGGTGGTGGCACAGGGGTGATTTGGTGATGGGAAACCTGCGGGGATTACAATCGAGATGGAAAAAAAAAATGTGCAAAATGATGTAAAAATAAACTTTGTAATAATAAAAAAAAACTAGTTAGTTTACCTAAACAACCAAAATAGGGACTTCATGTGTCTCCCTTACCCATATGTTAGTTGGTACATTTGCATGTATGGAGTATTTTGTCTTTTAGAATTGGCTTAATGAGAATGTAAGTTGGGCTTTCTTTCTCCTTTAGTACATGTGAAAATGAAATTTGCCATAATTAATTTGGTGGTTAGCAGTAGACCGAAATAGCTGTATCTTGTTTTGATGTTGATTATGAGGCATAATTCTAGCAGTTTAAAAATATTTTGCTTATAATTTATTTGATATTAGAAAAACTGTAAGTTCTTGTAATTTAAGTAATGATTTCTTTCCAATAAGTCATCTGACCTGGACTATCAAGGAGTATACGAGAGATGGAAGACTTGACTCATCAATTTTGGTTTCATTCCTGCATTCATTACTATTATCCCATTTCCCCTTGAACAAGTTGTTCCTTTCAACCGCTTTTGATGAAATACTGGAACGTACTTTTTCACTTGAGTGATTTTCATAAATTAAAAGGAGCAGGAAAGTTAAATCCTAGGTTAATGATAACCATGTTGTATTATTTAATAGGCAGTGAAATCAACTGTGCAAACCATCACTGTTGGAGGCGTGAGCACATCACAGTTTAAGACAATTATTCCTCTGGCAACTGCTCCCAATGTCCAGCAGATTCAAGTGCCTGGAAGCAAGTTTCATTATGTCCGGCTTGTTACTGCCACAACAGCCAGCAGCTCAACCCAGCCAGTCAGTCAGAATCCCAGTACAAACACTCAGCCTCTTCAGCAAGGTTAGTAGCCATTTCTTAACAACAGTAATTGAAGTTTTGAACATTTGGTAAAGAACATTAGTCCTTTTTTGCTGAAGTCCTGCTTAAGTATAAAGTTTGAGTCAACAGCTAGGGAAGAGGCTAATAATATGGAATGATAGTTGAGTTAAACTAGAGTATTTCATTCTGCTAAATATTATCATCAGTTTGTAAGTGGCAATTTTATCACTGGCTTAAAGACCTACTGTTTTTGCCAGTGGAATAGATTTACATGGAACCACATTATCTTGTTTCTTTTGTAATATTTATTTGTTCATGCATACAAGAGCTGGGGTGTAGACCAGAAGTGCGGGGGAGGGTGTGTGAGATGATTCACTGGAGACAGAGTGGGGAGCAAAACAGGCAGATGTACTGAAATACACTGCTGAGGGAGCAGTGAGTAACACAGGGAAGGGTCTGCTGAGCCATGTGGACTACCTGCCTGGCCAGGATATCCAACTCAGTGGCTGCCTATAGCTTCAAAGTTCTGAGACTTAACCCCTTGCGCCACCAGGAAGGCCCTATTTATCTTATTTTCTAAACTGTTAAGTCACTTAATAGAGTCTGAGTTACCCAATATGTAGATAGTAAGAATTGCTTATTACTCTTATACTCACTTATTTGGATCTGTAATTATTAATAAAAAGTGATGAAAATGATCTGTTACTTTGCTTAGTTGTACTTTTCCTAGAGGACATTTCTGTGGGCCTTTCGTTTGTATTAACCCTTGTGCCACAGACTCACATATATAACCTTTCTCTGTATTTATATACTTGTAAAACAATTGAGTGATGTGTCAGGAGCAGAACAGCTTGTATTTTGGGGACTAATTTTCTTCTTTGGAAGATTGCTGAATATTCTACCTATGTCAAAAAACAGGTGATGGCAAGGGAATAAATTTGTTGTTTTCTGAGTGTAAACAAAAGAATGAATGACCACTTGTTTAACTCTTTCTTTTTTATTAAGGTATCATAAGTTGGAGCTCTCTATTGCCCGTAGCTAGCTCACTTAGGGGAATTGACAGAAAAAAAACCCTATATAAATATTTTTTTTTCATAAATTGCTGTAGGATGCACGAAGGAAACAGTATTTCAATGTGTATTGTATTAAAATTGGACGTAAGAAGTAATTACATTTTCTAATTTTTTTCCCCCTTTTTCGAGGTACCATTGGTTTACATCCTTGTTAGCATTTTTAAATATAGGATTTCCCGTGTTAGGGGTAGTCACCTTATCACAGCTACCACTAATGCACCCACAGTCTCCCTCCAAAGTCTATTTTTCTCTCCCCACCCTGCTTCCACTGTTCCCTCTTCTGGATGGTCAGATTTCAAGAGCTTAAAATTTTTCTTTGACCCTTTGTTTGGTTTCTTTGTGCTACACATACAAGGGGCACCATCAGTATTTGTCTTTCTCCTCTGGTTTATTTTGTTCAGCATAATCCCTTCCAGCTCCATCCATGTTGTTATAAACAGTATTCTCTAATTCTTTAAATTGATTTTGGAGGAAAATGAAACATATTGCCAACTAAGTGGAAGTAGGACATTTCATAATTCTGGTTTGTCCCCCCCCCCCCCCCAGATTCGTCCTTTTCCTATTTATGTCTGTTTCTGCTTCTATCTCTATCTGCTCTATGCCTCCTGGCTGTGTCTTCCCTCAGGACTCCTCTACTACTTTCTGCTTCCCTACATTTTTTTTCTGTCTGTTCTCTGTTCTCCCATATCTCTTGCTCCATCAAGTCTATCTTATTCACCCTCTTCACACTTAACTTTCATAGATAATAATATCAACCACATACTTTCTCTTACATCCACTATCATTTTTCTCTTTTTGTCTTTCTCTCCTAACTCATAAAAGATCTAGACTTACATAATATATGATTTTGCAGCAATAATGACCTAAATTTGCAATTTGTATTAAGAGATACACTAAGTAGTTACACTAGCTCATGAAATGTATTAATGTCTTTCTAAAGGCTTAACTCCTTATAGGGATTTACTTATCTTTCAAAGGGAATTGAGTTCATTTTGCATATTCCATTTTCTCACCAAAGTCTTAAGTCAGTATGAAAGGCTTCACCACATTAATTGTTGGTTGGATGGAAAGTAGCATAGTAAAGGACCCAGAAGAGTAATTGGTTAACCTCCTCACAGCGTAATCTTTCAGTATTTTGGTGAGGGAGGAAATAAACTTAAGAAATTAAAAAGTCAGGGCCTCACTGGTGGCGCAAGGAATTAAAGCATTGTGAATCTCTCATCTCAGCTACTGTAGCATGGGTCTGATCCCCAGCCAGAGAGGTGACCCACATGGCATAGCAGACCTCTTCTGTCTTGCCCACTGCACCCCTCAGTAGTGTATTTCAGTCATTCTGCCTGTTCTGCTCCCTACTCTCTGGTGAAGCTTCTCACCTTTCCCCTTTCCCTGAACCTCTGGCCTGTACCCCAGTTCTTGTATGCATAAGTAAGTCCTTTAAAAAAAAAAGAAATTAAGAAGCCTAAAGCATTTGTAGGTATGGGTTCTGAAATTTGAAGGGAGGTTACATAAAAATATTATTCAGAATTCCTGTTGAAGACAAAATTTTAAAACATGCCAATATCTATGAAAAATGCACTAGTAGTAATGTGGGATTGTACTTAGAAGTAAGGAGAAGAAGAAATCCAGATGGTAGTTATATAACACCAATCTTGCCCCCTTCCATAGGCATATTATGAAGGTATTTTCTGATCACTTCATTGATTCTAGAATGCCAAGTTTCAGTTAAACTCAGCATGCAGATGCCAAGCTAATGGAAACTTAAGAGTTCCCAACTCACCTTGCTGTGTGTGTTTAGCATGTTTGGGGGACAGTTGTACTTTCCTTATCATCGAACTGAGAATCATCCAAATCCCCACTTGGTGCTAGAGAGAGGCAGTGCATACTCCTCCCCCATTATTTTACAGACAACCAGGAAGTTCTTGACATTCATCTAGCTGCTGTGCTTTCAGAATCACAGCTTTGTGTACTTACAGAACAATGACCAGCATCTCCTCTCCAAGGAACAAGAGATGTGGGGAGTTTAGGCATCTGTGTTCCAACCACAAATTTCTTTTAATTGCTTTCAGTATTGCTGAGACCAGTCACAGTGGTTATTATGTCACTAAAATTAAAATAATTGAGAAGCATCGAAACAGAACAGAAAACAATTGCAAATCCAGTGTCCAGATCTCATTGTTCTGTGGTTCACCGTGACATATTATTTTTGTATAACAACTTTTATTGAGATAGAATTCATATATACCATAAAATGTACCCTTTTTGAGCATGTGGTTTAGTGGGTTTTAGTCTGTTTAGAGATAGGCAATCATTAACATTAAGCATTCACTTTTTCTAGAGGTCTCTTACCTACCTTCTCTTCCTCTCCTGGTAAGCTCTGTACTCAGCTCTGTACCCTACCAGATCAGAGTGCTCCATGGTGTTGTTCTCTAGCTGTCAGTCTTCCCATCCTCACCAAAATTAATAAATCCTGCTAGTGTTGTTAACAGCCTTTCTTTCCAAGAAAAAAAAATTTTTTTCTTGTTCAGAACAGTTTAGACTCCATTATCTCAGTCTCTCAGACCAGGCTTTAGGCCTTTTGCACAAATAAAACCACAAAGCTAGCCTATCTTTGTAAATCCCTCCCTTAGACTTTGGAAATGGGCAATAAACAGTATTAAAAATTGTCCTTCTTAATTCAAAAATATCTGCACCCCTATGTTTATTACAGCACTATTTACAATACGTAAAACCTGGAAACAATCCAAATGCCCCAAAATAGATGATTGGATCAAGATGATGTGGTGTACAACACAATGGGATACTACTCAGCAATCAAAAAGATAAACTCATACCATCTGCAGTAACATGGATGGAGCTAGAAGGGGTTATGCCCAGTGGAAAAATGTCAGAAGGATAAAGAAAAATTTTGGATGGTTTCATTGACAGGAGGAATATAGAGGAAACAAATAAAACATCAGGGGCAAAAATTATAACAATATGAAACAAAACAAGCAGATAATTATAAACCAGAGACATCCTGCAGGGGAGGAGGAGGGAGAGAGGGACTGAAGGAAGAGGGAGGAGCAGAGGAGAATGATGCCTCCAAGCAGATTGGGGCAAGTTCTGTGGGAACTATACCTGGGGGGGGGGGGGAGTTAACATTGTTTAAAAAGGAACAGCAATGTAACATATAAATAAATAAACTAGTTTAATTTAAAAAATTGTCATTTTGGTCCAAACATTTAGTGCCAGTGCCAACCCCTCTCTTGAATATCATTGCTGCATTTCTCCAGATCAGGTTTCATCTCCTCATCAAATCACCTCATCCTTGAATTTTTTGTTGTAATAGCTATCTTTTTCCCAGTCACTTAAAAGTTTTGCAGTGTTTTCCTTTCCTTTATTCTATACTTCCTGCCACCCGGCTGTTTGGTAATTCATGCTGCTTTCACCTCCACTTGTCTTTTGCACCTCCTCTGCTCTCTTTACTCCAACTACTGTCACTACAGATTAGACCCTGATGATAACTTGCACTCTTCTAACTTTTCTTGTTTCTTGCATTTCCATTATGTCTTTACACACTGCTGCAAATACTTTTCTTTTTTTCTGATAGTCCAGTAATATATCTGTACCTCAAAATTCTCAGAAACTTCTCACTGTCTGCTGAATTTAAAAATACAGGTTAAATATGCAGATTTCTACACTAGTATTTAAAGTCTTCATCAAATTAAACACAATTTGCTTTTCCCTGTGCTTACCCACTTTTTTTTTTTTTTTTAAGATTTAGTTATTTATATATACAAAAGCTGGGGTGAAGGCCAGAGGTGGTGGGAAAGGTGAGAGAGACAGTCAGGAGCAGAACATGTGGATTGACTGAAATAAACAGCTCAGGGTCATAGCTGGAAAAACAGGAGAGGTCTGGGGTTCTGTGTGGGTTAACTATGACTCTCTGGCCAGGAATCGAACTCATGCCACAGTGGCTAAAGATTGCTTCATGGTGCTGAGAGTTAACCGCTTGCACCACCAGGGAGACTCCTGCTTGCCCACTTTAACACTGCGTTTCAACCAAACTCATCAATATTTTGTGAATAAGCTTTGCTGCTTCCCAGGGTCAAGCCTACACTTCTTGTGCATCGAATGTCTTCTTCCAGCCGGTCCACTGTGAAATCCACCTCGGAAATTGCTCTCCATACATTCATTTTTATTCCCATTACGTTCGTGTTCTCTCTCCTTTGCATCTCACAGCACTTTCCTTTCAGAATCTATTTTATTTTGATCTAATCTGCTCTGCTAAAATGTAATCTCTGAGCGGGTGTGTTGTACTTTAGTTGCCTGGGAATACCACTGACAGTGCCATTCATATAGTAGTAACGGTTGTATTAATAATAATGATGGCACTAACATTTATTCAGTATCAACTATTAGGCAATTCTATTGACTTTTCGTGCGTTAACATGGCTAATCCTTATACCTTATAGGAGAGATTCTATTCCCAGATTGCTAAGGATATAGGCAAAAATAATATGAGTAGTAGATGAGTTAAGGGTAGTTGAAAGATTGTCCTTTATAAATAAAGATGGCTCCAAATATCAAACAAATGTAATTCTTTAAATTCTTTGATGAGGCTATCTTGCATGAACTAAGTTTATTTTTTTATTTTTATTTTTCAAAGATTTATTTATTTATGCATACAGAGATGGGGTACAGGCCAGAGGCACAGTGGCAGTGAGAGGATTCACCAGAGACAGAGTGGGGAGCAGAACAGGCTGACTGATGAAGTACCCTGCTGAGGGGAGCAGTGGGTGGGTCAGGAGAGGTCTGCTGCGCCATGTGGGTCAGCTCCTGGGCGGGGATCGAACTCATGCTGAAGTGGCTTTAGCTTCTTAGTGCTGTGTTTAAACCTGCTGCACCACCATGGAGGGCCTGTGTGAACTAAATTTTATAAATGTTTAAAATAATATTTTCTTTTAGTAATTGTTCCTTTTTTCCTCCCTTTTTTTTAAAAAAAGCAAAGCCAGTGGTGGTTAATACCACTCCAGTGCGGATGTCAGTTCCAATTGTCTCAGCACAGACTGTCAAACAAGTGAGTGTCACATAAATCCTTTCCTTAGACTTTTTCAAACAGGCAACTTACTTTTAAAACTGAAAGCTAAGATTAAGGCACAAGAGATGTGTATTGAGTTAGGAAGCTATAAAATTAATTTTTGTCATTGATACTTCCTTTCTTTTTAGGTTGTTCCAAAACCAATCAATCCAACTTCACAAATAGTTACTACCAGCCAACCACAGCAGCGGCTCATCATGCCTGCCACTCCACTGCCACAGATCCAGCCAAACCTCACCAACCTGCCACCAGGCACTGTGCTGGCACCGGCTCCAGGAACAGGGAATGTGGGTTATGCAGTGCTTCCGGCACAGTATGTTACTCAGGTATAAGGGGAGAGGTAGTCATTCCATTTCAGAAAGTATAATTGTATCTAAGATGTTTAGCACTATTACATTCTGAAGTTACTCAAAATATCTGATTCAGTATTAAAATGATTTTCTGAAAACTTGAAATGTTAACAGCATCTGAGGTGTTTTTTTTTCTTTAAGATTTTTATTTATTTATGCATACAAGAACTGTGGTACAAGCCAGAGGTGCAGGGGTGGTGAGAGCATTCACCAGAGCCAGAATGGGGAACAGAACAGCTGAAATACACCGCTGAGGGGAGCAGCAGGCAAGACAGGAGAGGTCTGCTATGCCCAGTGGGTCACCTCCCTGGCTGGAGATTGAACACGCTCTGAAGCACTTGTGGCTAGCTTTGAAGTGCTGAACTTTAAGCTGTTGCACCACCAGGGAGGGCCTTCTGAGTTTATTTTTATGTATATCTAACATTTAAAAAATATATAGCGTAAGTTTATATGTAAGTCAGATAACTTGGAGCTGAGAAGTTTGGTGAGAGGGCACGATCGTGTGGATATAGCAGAAAATAAAATCAGCAACATCGGTGCCTGCCTGTTGGCACAGAGTGTTACAGTGCAGCACTGTGAAGCTATCTGCAGCCACTGCAGGAGTTTGATCCCCGGCCAGGGAGCTGACCCACTCAGCAGACCTCTCTTATCTTGCCTGATGTTCCCCTGAGCAGTGTATTTTAGTCAGTCCACCTGTTGTGCTCCCCACTCTGTCTGTGGTGTGTCCACTCACCCCCTCCACACCTCTGGCATGTACCCTAGTTCGTGCATGCATAAATTCCTTAAAAAAAGAAAAGAAAGTCAATATCCAGTTGGATTTAGAAAAGGCTCTAATAAAGCTGTTCTCATTTGTGAATATGTTTTCTTGGAAAACAGGCTGTGAGATACATTTCCAGGTGATGTTCCTTTAGTGATCTGTTCAGATGCTCTCATCTAGTCATCCTTAGAATCAAAGCCATGCATTGTCTAGCTGACTGGCCTGGGTTAGGAGTGCTGCTTCTAGGAAGCAGGTGGAAGTTTTCTTTTACATCTAAGAATCAAGCAAATTAAAACCAGTTTTCAACTGTTGAATTCATCTCAGAATATGGGAGAAAAAGAGAAACATCTGTGTACTTCAGTAAAGTGAACTTTGTAGTACACTAAAAATCGTAGCACATTAAAAATTTACTGTCCAGAGTGATGTCTCATAAATACCTTTTGGAGTCATTTTTTGACAGTTTTATCAATGTATAATAAAATTCACCAATTTTAAGTATAACAACTTAATAGTCATAATTTTTACCATTAGCTTTTCATGTTCAGCCATCAGTATAAAAATTAATCTTAATTGTTGTGATGTAACTTTGATTTCCTGTAACTTGTGATGATCAATACAATACTATTTTATTTACAAGTAGACACAGTCCATTTTTCTAACCAATAGAAGTTTTGATAGTACTTTCAGGGCATTCATCTAGATATTCTGATATACATAGTCCTGTGTGAGAATATTTCTTTAAAGTTTTTATATTTCTCTGTTTTAATGAAATTTTATTAGCTTATAACACTGTCTAATTTTGGGGAGTACAGCTTCACACCATTACCTGTGTATAATCCTCACCTACCACCAAGGCTTTCTAGCCATTTCCAAGATATGATTGGCTCCTCTTCTTCTTCCTTCCCTTCTCCTCTGGTAACCACCTTAATTTTCACTATCTAAGACACATCTTTCTTGTGATATTAGTTAATTTGCTTTAGCTATTTATATTCCACATGTGAGAGATCATCCAGTTACCTTCTGACTTTTTTTTAGCATGATCCCCTTCAGTCCCATCCATGTTTTGCAAAAGACAAGATTTCATTTTTCTTAATAACTGTGTAATATTCCATCGAATACATATATCACATTTTAAAACATCCTTCAATGGACATTTATGTTATTTCCCTGTCTTAGCGACTTGAATAATGCTGCTGTGAACATAGAGAAGCATATATCTTCACAAATAAGTGTTTTTATAGTCTTTGGATAAAAAAGTAGGATTGGTATTGCTAGGTCATATGATATTTTAATTTTCAATTTTTTAAGGCTGTACCAGTATACATCCCACCAGCATGGGGGTTCCTTTCTCTTCACAGCTTTGCCACCTCCTATTTCTAGTCATTTTGATAGAAGCCATTTTCATAGGTGTGATTTTATATCTCATTGTGGTTTTGATTTTCATTTCCCTAAAAATGAAGTTGAATTTTTTATTTTTCATATATCCACTGATTATCTGTATGTCTTCTTTACATACGTGTCTATTTAAATCTGCCCATGCAAATATTTATTTTATTTGTGCCTTTCTTTACATGTAGCTGCAACAATCTTCATATGTGTCTATAGCAAGCAATTCTAACTTCACGGGCACACCTGGTATCCAGACCCAGGCAAGACTTCCATTCAATGGGTGAGTATTTTGAAACTATGTTAGTGACATTGTTAGATCAGGCTAAATGTGGCATCAGGTATATTATTTCAAAATATATTTGATTTATATCTCACCTCAAACTCAAGGGAGTGTGTCTCTATAATACCTTTCAATTTGAAATACTTCAAACAGAAAAGTTACAAGGATAGTTGGAGAACTTTCCTATCTTTTACTTGGATTTAGTCCCATTCATTTTAATTCTTTCTTTTATCCTTTAAATGATAGCAAGTAGTTTTTAAGTTGTTATGTTAGGTATTTTTTTCTTTATTTTTTATTCTGTTAATTGGCACCTTTGTAGGATTGGTTTAGAAACAGTGCTTAGTTACATGGAACCAGTTTACCTCTCTCCTCCTAAATTTCAGTCTCTCACATAGTGCTTTATCCTCACTACCAATCATAATTGAACTCCAGAAGTTTTGGGGAGATTTAAGTTTTGGTTCATTCATTTATATGCAGTGGAGTATTCTATAGAAACTATTAATAACATCTATAAAATATTATTTGTAAATCTCAGACTTGCTGTATCTTTTCTTATCACATGCTTTTGAATGTGATATAAATGAAACTGACATAAGAAACTTTTTTTTAACACTTTAAGTTTTATTTTAAGAGGAATTGCAAGATAGAAGATTCAGTTTTAAATTGGTAACTGTAATTGATTAAAATGCATATCTTTGGTCTATGTCTCAATAGCATAATCCCATCAGAGTCTGCCAGTCGGCCCAGAAAACCCTGTAATTGTACAAAGTCGCTGTGTCTGAAGTTGTAAGTCTTTTTCTTGTACAACCGCTTTTAAAAATAGTTAACTAAAAATTATTTTTCTTAAAATGTAATTAATTTACTTTTAACTGAGGTAATTTTGGGGTATCCTCATTAGGTATTACCACCATGGTATATATACCCACTACCAGCTCACCCATCTTTCACCACCATAACAAATTTCATAAGTCTAGTAATTTAAAATAATATGTAGGTGTCTATAAGCATATGTGACAGTGTAAAAATACTCTTTTATTCATTCAAAAAGAAATAATTTTAGTTTTCACCATAGGTGAGGCATTAGCATAGGGGTTAGGGACACAGTAGCCTGAGACAGATATAGGCTCTGTCCTTAGTAATAACAATTTTGATCTTGTTTCTGACCTTTTTTTTCCTCTCCTAAATGAGGTAATACTCTAAGCAGTATAAAAGTTGTCAGATTAGGGGCCTCCCTGGTGGTGCAGGGGGTTAAGTTTCAGCACTGTCAGCTATCAGCAGCCATGACAGCATGAGTTGATTCCCATTCTGGGAGCACAGCAGACCTCTCCTGTCTCACCTTCTGCTCCCCTCAGCAGTGTATTTTAGTATATCAGCCTGTTCTGTTCCCCACTTTGTCTCTGGTGAATCCTTTCATCACCCATAACCCCACACTTCTGTCCGGTACCCTAGTTCTTGCATGCATAAATAAATAAGTTAAAAATTTTTTGACAGAGGGCTCTCCCTGGTGGCACAGTGGGTTAAAGCACAGCATCGAGAAGCTAAAGTCACTTCAGCATGAGTTCAGTCCCCACCCCAGAGTGATCCACAAGCCATGGCAGGCCTCTCCTGACCCATCCGCTGCTCCCCTCAGCAGTGTACTTTATCAGTCGGCCTGTTCTGCTCCCCACTCTGTCTCTGGTGAATCTTCTCACCACCCCTGCACCTCTGGCTTGTACCCCAGCTCTGTATACATAAATAAATAAATCTTTTTTAAAAATTGACAGAAACAGTAAAATAAAAAGTGTTGGTGTTCTAGAGGATTCAAGCATGACTAGTCAAGTAGACAGGTTCCATAGTAGTATAGCCATGTATTTTCTTTTCTATGATTTTGAAATAATTTATTCTGGGAACATATAAAAACCACATTACCCTAAGTTTCTAAATCAAAGTTTGAGGAAATTTAATTTTTATCCTTATCAAGTAGTTAACAATCAATATATGATGTTTATTCTATAAGTAGGTGTCTTGAAGTACTGTTTCACTGCATATATAATGCTGTTCAATCAGATTATTTCTAGTTTTAACAATGACTTATACTAATTTTTGTATTCCAGATACTGTGATTGCTTTGCAAATGGTGAATTTTGCAATAATTGCAATTGTACTAATTGTTATAACAATTTGGAACATGAAAATGAAAGGCAAAAAGCAATAAAGGTGATTATTTTTTATTTCATTTGACTAATAAAAATTTTTCAATTTCACCTTTTTTTTAAAAAAAGGAAATAAATTGTTTCACATTCAAAGTTAATTCCCTTTGCAATGTTTTAAATTTAATCTACTGTGATTAACTTCATTTGATATTTGCTCTGTTTCGATAGGCATGCCTTGACAGAAATCCAGAAGCATTTAAGCCTAAAATTGGAAAAGGAAAGGAGGGAGAATCAGATCGACGTCACAGCAAAGGATGTAATTGCAAACGATCAGGATGTCTTAAAAACTACTGTGAATGCTATGAGGTAAGGTGCTGGTTGAGGAAAAAAATCTATCTTTTGACAATTTTGGGTTGTCAGAAAAGTCATTAAGTAGTTTGCTTGAAAAACAGGAAAATTGTATCATGACTATTCCAACACCCAGTAACTTTAGGAAGGTCATACTAAAAAAATTTACTTCAAAATTGGGAAACTTTGCTGTTGCAGTTTGACTGTATCATCAACCCAAGCACCTTAATTTGAATATTACCTTCTCGGCTCTCAAAAAAGACTTCAGAAGAAAGATACTTTGGTTTTGTCTTTATAGCTTTAGGTGTTATTAACTGATTTACTGGCTCATACTTTTTGATCATCACATCTGGAAGTATATAGAGTATAGGTCAGTTCATTAATTTTTTTAAAAAAATATTTACTTATGCATACAGAAGTGGGGGTACAGCCAGAGGTATAGGGGCGGTGAGAGTCTTCACCAGAGACAGAATGGGGAGCAGAACAGGCAGATCAACAAAGTACACTGCTGAGGGGAGCAGCGGGCGAAACAGGAGAGGTCTGTCACAACCTGTGGATCACCTCTGGGGTGGGAGATCGAACTCACACTGAAGTGGCTGCAGCTAGCTTGCAGTGCTTCATCCTAACCCGTTGCACCACCAGGGAGGGCCATCAGTTCATAATTTTATTTATTTATTTATTTACAGATTCTCTTATTTTTTTTATAATATAATAGTTTATATCATTTTGTACATTTTTTTTTCATCTCAATTGTAATCCCCCTGGGTTTCCCATCACCGAGTCACCCATATGCCTGTTCGTTAATTTTTAAAAACTAATACCAAAGTAGATTAGAAGCTCAATTAAAGGGCAGTGTTAGCCAGGCCAGTGGGGGAATAAATGTGCCAGACTGCATCCCTTAGTGCTGTACTGAAAGTAAACGTTTATCTTGTCCAAAATGCTAGCAGTGCCCAGAGAAGAATAGTGTTTTGTGGAGAGCAGTTAAAAAGTGAGCATTGTGGGTAGAAAAGTTAAGAAATGTGCATTGTGAGTATAAACATAGAAAAGGAGAAATATGGACAATTGCAAGATGAGGTTGTTGTTCATTATAAGGTGATTGCATCCATTTTTCTCACTTCACTTTCCTATTGAACTGACATCTAAAATGTATGGGCCAGGTGTCTTTTCTGGAGAATGTAGTTGATGTTCTGCTATGAAAAAAAATCTCCTTTAAACAAAGTTAACAATCTAGTCATGCCCAAGACTAAACTTGGATTACTTTCATTGGTTTCTTGATGTACTTGAAACTGAAACTCTTTGCTGACAGTCTTGACTTGAGTCATTGCTACCATCAGGCCTCTTGTAATTGTATTTTCATTCTTTCAGATTTGATGTTCAGGGGAAACCTTATTTTTAGTTTTTGCTTAAGGCCTACCCTATTACACTTGGTAAGATAACACCAACAGGGGTTGCTCTCTCCCCTGCTGAGGTTTTCGCTGCTACCTCAGGAAAATGTGCTTGTAGTGTCCTCTCATGTACAAAATATGTCACTGTAAGATTGTGTGTACTGTATTCTCTGAGTAGTGGATTTAACTTACATATTTCAAGGGTTAAATACTCAAGTATAGTAAAGTAACATCTTGTTAGTCCTAAGTCAGTACAAGTGAAGATTGTGTGATCAAGCTTATTTTCAAAAGTCTCTTAAGTAATATTTCAAAGTCCAAAATCCAGTCATTTCCATCCACTGTTAGAAAAGATTGATTCTTTTGTTTGAAAATCTGATAAAATAGGTGGTTCTATTCAAAAGCCATGTCATGCATATATAGCAATTTATACCAGGCACTATTTTTGATTAAGCTATCAGACCAAGTCTATGAAAAGAGAAGAGGTGGAAATTGTTGCAAAGCTGGGTCAAGAAGGCAAAGAAATCTTTTCATATATATGGCATTGAGCAGTTGATAGCATATGGAATTCAGATACACATGGACTAATTTCATTGAGTTGTTTAATAAATCTGTGGACTAAAAGAATTAGAAAAGATAGTGGACTGTCTGGAAAATATGATGAGAGGTGCCTCCTTGGTGGCTGAGGGCTTAAGTCTCAGCAGTATTGCCCAGAGGGCCCACCGTGACTCCTGAGTTGATGGCCCGGCCAGGGAGCTAACCCACACATGGCACAGCAGACCTCTCCTATCTTGCCTGCAGCTCCCCTCAGCAGTGTAATTCAGTAAAATCTGTCTGCTCTGTTCCCCACCATGTCCCTGATGAATCCTTTCATCCCTGCATCTCTAGCCAACAACCCAGTTTTTCTATGCAGAAATAAATAAGACCGAAAAAATAAGAAAGTGTTATAAGAGAATCTTTGACATTCAGGACATTACAAAATGTCTAATAACTAATACGTTGTTCCAAACAATTCAAAAATGGAAGAACACAGAATACACAAAACTGTGACGAGCAGTAGCTAATTGGCTCACTCTGCATCAGCTATGATGCTGTCTCACAGTTAATGTTCAATGGAATCATTGAATCATCTTTTTTAGTCCTATTGCCTCTGGATAACACATATTCCTTTCACCTACTTTTTCATGGCAGGTTGATTGAATGTGTGGGGTATCCCCATGAAGTGGTTATATCTTTTTTTATGAATTCTCCAGTCTTTTTTTTTATTGTTTCTGACCACAGAAGAAGTTGAATTAGCAAAGCTAAATGCATGCCTGATTTTCTGAGATGTAATTAGTACCTTTGTTACAGTTCTAAACACTAAATCTTTTTCCCTTTTAGGTCAGGGATTTTATATCTTCATCATTAGATGCTTATCAAGTGTTGCTTTAGTTAAGAACCCAGACTCAGAGTAACCCAATTAACTCAACCTGTATATCCATTTTTTTTTTCCTCTTGGTAAATGGGATTTATTAGTGTACTGTAAGAAAGGTAAATGTTTTAAGTCTTGCTATCTTGGCATGCCAGATGATCCATTTACCTTGCTAGGTGCTATGGAGAACAAGGATAGTAGTAGTATTTATTTATTTAATTGACATGGGTTCAGTGAAGGAAATGCAGCTGACAGAAGATTCCCAGATTTACTAAGAGTAAGGGAAATGTACATTAAAGAACTAGAAGATCTTCACTTTCCAATCCCCAAATCAGACAGTAAACATTGAAAAGAGCTGTAGCATACATCATTGAAGGGAATTTAGGAAAGGCTTCCCTTATACAGTGCTGATGAGATGTAAGGTGCTATGGTAACTTTTTGAAAAATAATCTGGTCTAAATACAAGTGGGCCCTCCCTGGTGGCTCAACAAGTTAAAGCACAGCATTCTGAAGCTTTTGCAGCCACTGAAGCATGCCTTCGATCCCTGGCTAGGGAAGTGACCCCCAAATGGTGTGGCACACCTGTGCTGATGCACCCGTTGCTCCCCTCAGCAGTATATTTCAGTACATCTGCCTATTCTGCTCCCCACTCTGTCTCTGTGAATGCTCCTACCCCCCACAATTCTGGCCTGTATCCCCATTCTGTATGCATACATAAATAAATCTTCAAAAAACAAGAGTAAAATACATGTGCCAGTGACTGCAATTTGAGAAATTTTGCTCATAGAAATAAAAGCATAATAACATTAAAAATCATTTTAATGTGGGGCCCTCCCTGGTGGTGCAGCGGGTTAAAGCACAGCACTGAGAAGCTAAAGCCACCTCCGCATGAGTTCTTCGATTCCCGCCTGCCCCAGAGGTGACCACATGGCGTGGCAGACCTCTCCTGACCCGCCCGCTGCTCCCCTCAGCAGTGTACTTCGTCAATCTGCCTGTTCTGTTCCCCACTCTGTCTCTGGTGAAACCTCTCACCACCCCTGAGCCTCTGGCCTGTACCCCAGTTCTGTATGTACAAATAAATAAATCTTAAAAAAAAAAAAAATCATTTTAATGTGGGCCCTCCCTGGTGGCGCAGTGGGTTAAAGCACAGCACTAAGAGGCTTAAACCACTTCCACATGAGTTTGATCCCCACCTGCCCCGGAGGAGCTCCACATGGCATGGCAGACCTCTCCTGACCTGTCCGCTGCTCCCCTCAGCAGTGTACTTCGTTGATCTGCCTGTTCTGCTTCCCACTCTGTCTCTGGTGAATCCTCTCACCCTCCGCATCTCTGGCCTATACCCCAGTTCTATATGAATAAATAAATAAATCTTTAAAAAATAAAAGCATTTAATGTATTGTTTGTAGTATTCAAGAACTGGAAATAAATACCAATCAATAGGGAAACAAATGCCCAACTGAAATGTGGCCCATAACAGTGACTAGTACCTACCCAGCCATCAAATAGAATAAATTTATTCCATGCTAGATGATGTAGAAGAAAGGATTCCATGAGGTAGAACAATGAAAAGGAGATGCAGAAAAGGATATATGACTGTAAAATCCAGGAAAAAGTTGATAGATGTGTTTGTAGGTTGATACAAGAACATGTGCAGTCTGTTTTTTATAAACATACACATACACTTTCTAAATTTTTTTTGAAGATTTATTTATTCATACAGAACTGGGGTACAGGCCAGAGGTACAGGGGCAGTGAGAGGATTCTCCAGAGACAGAGCGGGGAGCAGAACAGGCAGATCTACAAAGTACTGCTGAGGGGAGCAGCGGGCATGTCAGGAGAGGTCTGCCATGTCATGTGGATCACCTCCGGGGCTGGCGGGGATTGAACTCATGCTGAAGTGGCTTTAGCTTCTTAGCGCTGTGACTTAACCCTCTGTGCCACCAGGGAGGGCCTCTTTCTAAATTTTTATGTATTTTTGCATAGAAGAAACTGAAGTTCATCTATGGAGAGCAGAACAGGTGAATTGACTGAAATCCACTGCTGAGGGGAGCAGTGGGCGAGACTGGGAAGGTCAGCTATGCCACATGGGTTACCTCCCTGGCCAGGGATAGAACTCAAACCTTAGCCAGTGATGGCCCTGAAGACATAACCCCCTAGGCCATCAGGGAGGCTCAACGTATATATATTTTACATGAAAGCTCACAGTGTTTTATTATAATATGGAATTTGGTGAGAGGTGAGAAACTCATACTAAAAACAGCACTATCTTTTTTTTTTTAATTTTTTTAAATTTTACTTTATAACAGTTTATTTTTACATCATTTTGTACATTTTTTTTTTCCATCTCAATTGTAATCCCCGCGGGTTTCCCATCACCAAGTCACCCGTGTGCCATCACCATAATCCCGAAAACAGCACTATCTTTAATGTGGGGCCCTCCTTGGTGGCATAGCAGGTTAAAGCACAGCACGGTGAAGCTATCCACTGCAGCACGAATATGATCCCTGGCCAGGGAGGTGACCCACATGGCAGACTCCTGACCCACTCCCTGCTCTCTTCGGTGATTTGATTAAGGTGGCTGAATTCTGGGTAACTCAAAAAAAATTTTTTTAATGTTTCATTCAGATTCTTTATAAAGAAGATGTTATTCATATCAAAAGGAGAAGCTGTAGTGGGTGGGGTAGATCGATATGAAAAGGACTCATACACAAACCCTGTATAAGCACGTTCAGTCTTGTCCATATGCACCTGGCTCTTCAGTGCTTGTCAGCAAGAGGTGTTTCCACTTTATCTTATGTCCTCTCACCGGTTCTCTTCTCTGTTGATTAAGCGTGGAGTCTACTTGCAGTAATGTCTTTCGGTTTTGATTTGGGAGCTTTTCTTTTGTAAATTTTTTAGGCAAAAATAATGTGTTCCTCAATATGCAAATGTATTGGCTGTAAAAATTTTGAAGAAAGCCCAGAAAGAAAGACATTGATGCACTTGGCAGATGCTGCTGAAGTGAGGGTCCAGCAACAAACAGCAGCGAAGACAAAGTTATCCTCTCAAATTTCGGACTTGCTCACTAGGCCAACACCAGCTTTGACTAGCGGAGGAGGAAAGTAAGTCAATCTTCCACCTTTTTTTGTAGTTTTACATCAATATTTCTGTTTCAGTAAAGCTTCCTTTTGAGGGCAAAATGTAGTTCAGACTTTTGGCTTTTATAAACCTAGTTTTTGTATTTTCTTTCTGTCTTTGGTTGCTTGTTTGATATAGAGAAGTTTAAAGTTAATAGTATACCATAGTTTATGATGCTTAATTTGATTTCTCCCGATTGAGGTATTTGACACATTCCTTAGAAAATCAAATTATACCTTTTACTAGTATCATTATTCATATTTTTTTGTATCTTCTTACCTTCTTGCTTTTTTCATGTCCTTGCAGTACTTTCCCCATACCTATCATATCACACACTGTTCACTGGAGTGCCTTATTTCACTAGTCTCCTGAGTTTTGGAGTAAAAAAAGCTTTATAATGTCAGGCTGACCTAAGTTTAAATACTGTCAGTGCTTTCAGCACTTTATTAACACACTCGCTAACCCACTGAGCTAACCGGTCACTCCCGCTCTTAGCACTCTATGAATGAGACAAGCATGCGGTGTCTGAGTTCTGATTTCTTACCCTTCAAGTCACCCTTGCCACAGAGCTGAGAGGAGCTCAGCATTTCTGTCTCCGTATTTGGCAGGGACTGATGCAACATAGCTTGCTGTCTCGGATGTGTAATAGTTTTTTACAGTTTTTCTTTAATTTGAGAGATTATTAAATGGATTGCGTTGCAAATGATCTTTATTTAAAATGCCTAAATTGAAATAAGATGCATTTTGTTTTAAAAAGCAAGACTTCCTTGTACTATATGTACAGGTTTTAGTTTAAAGAAAGCTTAAAACTAGAATGTAATTAGGAAAAGGTTTGCTACATCGACTAAATTAAGTGGAATGGTCAGGCACCTTAATAGGGGTTATAATCTTTCTTGTCCTCTGCTCCCAATAATTTTTGGAGTTATTTAATCTAATATTTGCCTGGACATTAAAGACATTGCTACACTAAAATATTTACAATTATGTTTTCACTTTGGAAATCTGCCTGTGTTACTATGTAGAATAAGAGAAAATGAAGTAATATGCTATAATTAAAACTATGTAAATAAGTCATACCTGATTGTTAACAAGCTTTGTCTTTGAGTGGCAAAAATTTGAATTTACAGTTCTGTAATTTTCAAATATTACATAATGAGCATTACTATTACATAGTGCTAGTAATCATCGATATTATTCTAATAGTCACATTCTTGCAATATATTTGCTTTTTTATATTTTAAAGATATTTTTACAGTTGAATAGCAGCCTAAATCTTTGCTTGCCCTCTCTTGTCTTAATGGGCCCTAATTTCAGGCTTGATATTTTGTTCTGCATTTTCTACCTATTCATGACTTCTTATAGGTGACCGAGTTGTCTGGTTTATCTTGGAAAGGAAATCTCGACTATAGTATAGCAAACCTTAGGATAAGTTGCTCTAATAGAAGACTTAATATTAATAGTTCAGGTGTTTATGAATGAAACTCCACATGCAGAGCAACATTTAGTTTTTCTTTTAATTTTTGAAATGGAACAATGCAAAACTTTATCATGTACAGGAATATGAGAAAGTGCTTTATTTTTGGTGTTATCTAGGAGAAGATAGTGGTTTCAGTTCCATTACTCACTTCATTCATTTAATGATTATTCTTGGCATGTCCTTGTGGGAGGCTCTGTTGTAGGCAGTGAAGAAATAGCAGTAAGTAAAACAGCCAGTTCCTGGAGCATACATTAATGAATTGGGAGGATGTCTGTGATAGAAATATCTGGTCAGCATGTAGAATTGCATCTTTACATGTAAACACCTTCAAATGTTTAGATACTAAGATGTAATGTAAAGTATATATACAACTTAACAATTTTTTTTATGTATTAGTTTATTTTTACATCATTTTGCACATTTTCCCATCTCATTTGCAATCCCCTTGGGCTTCCCATCACCAAATCACCCATCACCATAGTTTAGTGCATTTCCCTCCTCCTGCTGTTTTTGATCCCATCCCCCACTCCACTTCTACAAATTGTTTCTGGTGTATAGCTGTTCATCATTATCATTATTTTCTCACCTGTTCTGTTATATTCCTGCTATGAGAGAAGCCATCCGGTATTTTTCCTTTTCTTTCTGGCTTATTTCACTAAGCATGAACTTTTCCAGTTCCATCCATGTTGCTACAAAAGACATGTTGTTTTTTTTTTTGGTTGCTGAGTAATATTCCATTGTGTATATATGTCTTTTTAATTCAGTCATCCATTTTTGGGCATTTGGGCTGTTTCCACATCTTTCCAGTTGTGAATAAAGCAGCAGTAACAATGGCGGTGCAGGTGTCTTTTTGAATCAGTGTTTTTGTGTCTTTTGTGTAGATACCTAGGAGTGGGATTGCTGGGTCATATGGAAGCTCCACGTTTAGCAGTTTGAGGAACCTCCAGTTTTCCATAGTGGTTGCACTAGTTGCATTCCCACCAGCGGTGCAGGAGAGTT